CTTGCAATTTTCTTTTCTCTTGATAATTATGCCTGTTTTCAATATATATATATATTATATTTGTAACATAAGTTATATCACAGATTAATAGACAGATCGCCAAAGGCCTGCCTAAAGAAGAGACCGCCATCTTCGTGCGATAGACTTTGCCCCTTACCGACACACTTTGCCCCTGGTTCGAGTCCGTGCTAAATTTCGTAGACTTGAACCAAAAGACTTTGCCCCTGGTTCGAGTCCGTGCTAAATTTCGTAGACTCGACCAAAAGACTTTGCCCCTGGTGCAAGTCCAGGCTAAATTCGTTTGACATTACCAACAGACTTTGCCCCTGGTGCGAATCCAGGCTAATTGATCATGAGACCAATTTGAGAGATTTGGCCCCCGTTGTGTGTGTGTGTGTGTGAGAGAGAGAGAGAGAGAGAGAGAGAGAGAGAGAATATTTTACATATATGCATATATATATATAAAATTTATTAAATATAAAAAATATATTTTTTACACATAAAATGTTTTTTTATTGAAATAATCACGATTTTAAATGTGATATAACACAGTGTTCAAAAATTTTTTAATTAAATTTTTTAATTAAATTTTATTAAAGAAAATTACTTGAAATTTTTTACATTAAGAATTTAAAGGCTCCTTATTCTCTTGTAGAAATTTATCACTACGCCAATTAATCACTTATTTCGAGTATTTAAAATACTATAATATACAGTAATTTAAGTATTCGAAATAAAAGTGATTAATTACTCGAAATAAGTGATAAATTGGCGTTACTAGTAATAAATTTCTATAAGGGTTGAAATAAAGTATAAGAGATAAATAGGCTATATGTGAGCTGTATGCGAAATGTGAGATGTAAGACGCATATTGAAATTTAATTTTTCGATATAACTTTCAAAAATGTACACGAGGTACAAAAAATTAGCTTGGACATTTGTAAGACTTAAAATTGGGATTAATTCTCAATTCTATTAATTAAATTTCGATATAACACACCTTACATCCGCGCACGGCTCACATATATATAGCCCATTTATTAGTGCAATTTTTAAGTTCCTTATTTTTCAAAGTTCACCTTTTTACGTTATCAAATATTTTTACGTTTTCAAGAATTTTATATTTTTACTTACCGCAGTTTCTTATCCAAATGTAAAATCTTTTATCGCAGTCTATAAAAAATTGAAACAATTTACAATTTTATGATATAATATTATTATTATTACAATTTCTATATATATGCACATCTGTCAAATATCGTGATTTATTTCACATTATTATTATCTATTTTAATAAAAAAAAAACAAAAACACTTGCAACAATCAAAAATAAACCGCCTGCCGCGAACGGAAAATGCCAAGAAAGCACGCAATTTCCGCGAATCTCGTAATTTTTTTGAAAAATCAACAATTTCAACGAAATTGTAAATTCTTTAAATCACTGCACAAGTATAATTCACAATAATAATTTTCAGTAACTACGATAAAAAATCGTATACTGAAAACCGCAAACGAAAGTGCAATGGGAGTAAGAGTAAAGTCTGTGATAAAATTAATTGGCAATAGAAAATTAATAATTTTCAAATAGAAAAATTTTGAAATTACCGAGGATTTACAAATAATAAAGTAAAAATATTAAATAATTTATGTGACTTTGTATAGTGAACACATCAACTTGGCGGAATCTTGACTACTCATCAATTTAAGTAAGCAATTCTAAACACAATTAAGATCTTTCACATAAAAAAAATAACTTATTAATATAAATTAATATACCAAAAAAATAAAAATATACTTAGACAATCACGGTGAAATATACTGCAATGACGAACTTACTTGGAAATATCCTTGATGATGGGGACTAACTTTTTGATGCTGGATAACATCTAATTGTTTTCAATTCTCATATCAAGCGGTTCTGACGATAATTTTAACTAATAATATATGTTCAAAAGAATTGATGACGTGGAATGGGCCGTCAACCTGTTCTACTAACAACAGGGAACTCGTTTACATGTTTTTTGACATAATCAAAAAGTTTACCATCTTAACTAAAAAATGGTTAGCCGATTAGAAAAAATATCTAATTTAATAAATGTTATAAGCGTAACCCAATTTAAATTCATCGACTTATTAAACCAAAATGTTCATTAAAAAATAGACTCTAATGCGTAATATGTCATAATTTTTCTTAAGAGAATTTTTATTGTTTTTATATTTACTGAAGAAGGCTGAGGTAACAGCCGAAACGTTTTATTATTTTTATTATCATTGTATCTACTAAGAAATAAATCAATTATGTGTTGACATTACATCTCTCACTAATTTAATATGCTCGTTATAGTTGGCCCTGTCTTTCTAAATCTTAATTTTATAATATCACACGAGCCTTGTCTTTAAATATCTAATTGTTTTCCTTATTAAATTTAAATAATTTATGTTTTCGAATTTTGCTCGCGGAGAGGATCTTTAAAACAAGATTTTTAGAAGAGAGGACCTTTAAAATATAAACAGGCAAAAACGTTGGAAAAATTAAAGCGCGCGTTTAAACAGATAAACGCAATGAAATAAATACGCAATTGTTTTTACTTATCGCTGTAAGCTCACAAGCTTCTGACGTGCTATACACTTTTATATAATATATACAAGGTGTCCGGTAACTAACGGACCAATGATTAAGGGCGGATTCTCTGGCTAATTTGGAGACGATTTTTCCTTAGCAAAAATGTTGAGAAGTCAATAATTTTCGAGTTATAAGCGATTGAAAAAAATAGGTTTTTTGAAAACTAAACGTTTTGGAGTTAAAAGTCTAACATAATTACATTCTTCAGTTAATTTCAGGTAGAGTTTACTATAATAAAATTTTAATTTAAGGCTTAGTTATAAAGATACATAATGACAAAGATTGGAAAGTTGTAAAAAATGATGACCTTTTTCGACATTTTTGCTGAGGAAAAATCGTTCCCAAATTGACCAAAGAATCCATTTGTAATCATTGGTCTGTTAGTTACCGGACACCCTGTATATTGGACACGAGTTTCGTTTGTTTCAGATTCTCGAGAGTTGAAGTAGGAACATACGAGTATCATATATCGTTTGTGACTTGCCGAATGAAAGCAAGACAGAGAGCGAACGAGATGATGAGCTTAATAGCTCATAATGTTATAAATAAATAAATAAAAAATTATAACCTGACCTACTAGTTATTGAATCTTTTTTTAATAAAATGTTTCATTATTATTATCATCTAAGTCTAAGTCGTTTAATTACTTTTTAGTTTTTTAATAATTAATTTAATTTATTCTAGTCATTTTTATATGAGAAAAATAATATCACGTATACGTTTTATAATGAATTAATATATTTCGGGAACCGAATTATATATTCTTAATAATATAAAAGTGTTCAAAAATTATATTTAACTTTTAATTTTAATTATTTTATAGCAAAGAGTTTCGAAATCTCTTACACACATAATGGGGATTTTTTTCATCCATATAATTCGCAATTAAGTATATATGTTAATTATTAATTTTAATAAAATAAAAATTAAAATTAAAGGTCAAATATAATTTTTAAACACAAATATATTAAATTAATTATAAAACGTATACCCATGATAGTATTTTTCTCGTACAAAAATAATTAGAGTAAATTAAATTAATCATAAAAGATTAAAAATTAATTAAAGAATTTAAACTTATATTTTATATAATAATAATAAAACATTTTATTACGTCAAACCGTCGTGAAATAATTAAATAAAATTTGCTTAGTAAAAATAAAAGTTACGTCAAAGTCAAGTTTTCTAAGCTTATAAAACATTTTATTAAAAAACAGATTCAATAAATATAAGTACATGTTATATATATACTTATATTTATTGAATCTGTTTTTTTATAAAATGTTTTATTATTATCATATATAATATAAATTATTTAATTATTTTTTTATTTTTTTATGAGTAATTTAATTTGTTCTAGTTATTTTTGTACGAGAAAAATACTATCACGGGTATACGTTTTATAACGAATTAAATATATTTATGTTCAAAAATTATATTTGACCTTTAATTTTAATTTTGTATTTTATTAAAATTAATAATTAACATATATACTTAATTGCGAATTATATGGATGAACAAAATCCCTATTATGTGTGTAAGAGATTTCGGAACTCTTTGCTAAAATAATTAAAATTAAAAGTCAAATATAATTTTTGAACACTTTTATATTATTAAAAATATATAATTCGACTCTCGAAATATATTAATTCATTATAAAACGTATACGTATTAGTATTTTTCACATATTAAAATGATTAGAATAAATTAAATTAATTATTAAAAAACTAAAAATTAATTAAACGACTTAGACTTAGATGATAATAATAATGAAACATTTATTAAAAAATAATTATAATAGATCAGGTTAATATTTTATTTATTTATTTATTTATTTATTTATAACATCATAAAATTCTGTCCTTTCCGAAATACGCGAACGCTACGAAAAGATAAATCTCGTACATGCCGCCGGACGAGTTCATGAGCATGAGACGCTCTTATCTTGGGAACGTATTAATAGTTACTGCATTGACCACTACTACGATATGGCGCTGAAATCAGTGAGAAATGCTGGTCTCTCCTTCATCCAGACCTTTGGCGATCTGTCTATTAATCTGTGATTATATATCATAAAAACATTTTTTAAATCTATTACAAAAACTGTTTGACTTGAAAAAAAATTATTTTTTAAATTTCCATTTAATATTACTCGATTTAATATAATAATTGATAATGAAACTTGATAATTACGTTCAACTCGAATGTTTAAGTAGCGAAAGATGAAATCTCTTCAAAAGTCCATCAAGATTCGAATCGCGAAATTTGAATTGCGAGGCGTTCCCGCCAATTCTCGCGGTAAGGCAGGGCCGCGAGCGTTACCGCGCGCCAGCTGTCAAACTGAATGACAGTTCGCCAGGCGTCGCCAGTGTTGCGGCGCGCGCGGCCGAAGGTAGCAGCAGTGTCGCGTGAACGAACGAACGAACGCGAATATCCCCCGCACGAGACGAGCGCACACGCGAATATCTACCCATACAATCGCAAATCTCGAGGTCCTCCCCGGGGGTTATAGAACAAATCCGCGGAGGATCGCGGCTTCGACGTGCGGTCGCCGGTGCTCCTGCGACGAGGAACCAGGAAGGTCCAACCGGACGATCCTTCCGTCAGGAATTCGCGCCGAACGACTTCCGGGCCTAGAGGGAGAGAGAGAGAGAGAGCGAGACAGAGGGGAATCGAATCAACAACGTCGTCGTCGGTGAAAACGCCATTTTGTGGTCGCGTTGTGATCCTGGGGGCGGGTGGGGGGGGGACGTAAACACACCATCGAACTTTCCAATTGTATTTCGTCGCGGCGGGAAGGCGAGAGCCCGCTTTTTCCCCGTAGCCGTCGTCCTCGTCCTCCCGCCGACCCGGTCGTCGCGTTCCTGGCGGCGAGCTACGTCGTTCTCCCGTCGGCGCCCGGATTTCTTTCTCCTTCGGGCCGGACATTTCGCGCCAAATCGCCTACCACTTTTCTTCGCGAGGCGGACGCACACCTGGCGCACGAATAGGAACGCGTGAAGGAGGAAACAGCTGTCGTCGAGATCCGATCTCGGGCGCTTGGCCAGGTAACGTATAAAACGGCGTACGCGACGCTTCCCTCTCGCGGTTTCCTCGTCTCTCTTGTTTACCTGTGACGCGTCATCGCGAGGAAATCGCGAAATTTTTTGAATAATTATTTTTTTAATAGTTGCTCGAGAATTTCGGATGGATTATTTTTATGCAAATTAGATTCTACGACGCGACGTCAAAAATATATACTGTATGATATAAACAATGTGGAGAATTATTCCTGGATTTATGGACTTTTTTTTTTTTTTTTTTTTCTTATTGCAGTTCTGTGAAATATCCAGCGATGTTGGTGGGTTGTCAAAAATGAATGAGTATTCTTTCTTCTTTTACAGTGTGACAAAATCTTGAAAGGACTCGCTGACAGAAATATGACACCGATGACTATTGCTGAATGAGCATTTCTGATATCTCTAAGATAAGGCTTGAAGATATGCTTCTGGTTATCGTAAAAAGGCTTGATGAGTGAACAAAAGTATAAGGAATGGTATTCTATTCGATCCAGCTGGATGTCAGATAAGCTGAAAAATGTCTGGTGATTCAGGATGGAACGCCGTTATTCACCATCCCTCGGATTTAGCACTGCAGAATTGGAACTGGGAGGAAAACGATGGGGAGCAAGAGAAAGAGCTCCCTTCTACCGTTGATATGGATGCCATAAAGGGTGGTGGTAGCTGGGATCCCACTACTGAACCTAATGGTAAGTATTAGCTGCGGAAGCTTGATTTTAAGTGTATTTTACTCCTGGAAAAAACTTTGGAATTTATTTCAAACTCGGGGAATTTTTTCAAATATTGCCTCTGATTTTATCTTCAAATATACCTTTCAAGAATATAAAACTTATTTCATTATAAAATATTATATTATATTAGAAAATATTTTATTTATGTTAAAAAATTATGTATAACGAAAGTAAACTTAATTTAAAATTGTTCTAAATACTTTAATTTTACTTGTAATCGTGGAATTTATTTATAAGATTTGAGTACACACCCTGGTTTATTAATCTTGATAGATGAATCATAATAATCCTCCGATGAATTTCCAGGAACAGATTCGGTTGATTCCGAAGAAGACTCTGATTCCGACGACGAAAGCTCTGGTGGAAGCGAAGGCAGTTGCTCTTATTCAGATTCCAATTCAGAGTCAGACGACGAAAGCAGCGGCGACGAAGAGGAAGACAGTGGATCTAATTCGGACTGTTCCTCTGAACACAGCGAACAAACGTTTTCCATTCAACAGACTAACTTTGAACAAGTACATTGAAACGCGACGTTATACGGGGTGTTCCATTTTAATTTTCGCATACAAAAGTTATAATTATTGTCACAAGCGAGGATTTATTCCGTGTGGAGGCATTTTTGAGGTTTTGAGGTCATCGTTGTTTTTTAAAACTATAATTTTTTTACATAAATCAGTTTGTAATAACTGGTATAAAAAAATTGTTGGAATGGAATAGACGAAAAATGGATAGTTTAATATATTAATAGTTTAATTTAAGCTTTGTTCTCTGACATATTTTGACAAAAATATATGAAATTCCGTAATACTTATTTATCGATAATCTAATATTATTAATTTTTTGCATAGATGATCTAAATCAATTAATATAAGAAAAACATACTCTTGTAATTAAAAAAAATTTGTGATTTTTTTTTTTTTTTTTTTTTTTTTTAATTATTTTTCTTGTACCAATTGATTTATCTCATTAATTCTATGCAGAAAATTTGATTAAAGTAATAGTCAAAAAATGAGAGTATATTATGAAATATTTCCTACTTTTTTGTCAAAATGTGTTCGAATAAAATATTTCATTCATTTTTTTTTTTTTTTTTTTTTTTTTTTTTTTTTTTTTTTTTTTTTTACTATTTTACTGCAACAATTTTTTACGTTAAATACTACTTAAAAATATAATGGTTTTAAAAAATATCTCAAAATCTCAGAAATGCCTTCTATCTAGAATAAGATGTCCCCCTCGAAACCCTACTTTTGTATGAAACATTTTTTAACGGAAGCTTTGGTCAAAAGTGAAAGTGGGACACCCTGTATATTTTCTTATCTTCCCAGTTTGTCTTTTGTTAGACTGACTTTTTATAGGAAAATTCGTGTTTGCAGGGTGCGTTAAAATTAAAAATTACCATGAAGGGTCCCAAGAAGGAGGACTCCGAGAAAATTAAGTGTGAAAAAGGCAAGAGAAACGTTACAACAAAGAAACCAAAAACCAATCACGGAAATAAGGTAAATAATTATCTCGCAATCCTAATAATTCCAAACTAAATGAAAAAACAATTAATTAATGAAGAAGAAAAAAAATATACGGGGTGATTTTAATCGCCCCAGGAAAATATTGCGAAAACTATAAGAGACTCGAAAAAAATGTTTCAAATCAAAGTTGTATCTCGAAGGTCACGTAAAGGTTACCTTCACTTTCTTCAATGGAACCTATTATACAACAAAAAATAGTAAGTTCCATTTAAGAAATTGAAGGTGACCTTTAAACGATTATACAAGGTCAAACTAACATCATTTTCCGTCCCCCTGGAAGTCAAAAAACTTTGGTTCGAAACATTTTTTGTATTACACGTGCAGGTAAAGTGGCACTTTGTGTGCGTGTTTTCTGTGCGGAAAGCGGCCGATTTCTCACGCCTCCATCTACCAGCGACGCGGTGAGTGAATAAACCGCATTCAAAGCCATTGCCTACCGCTGAGCCGCGTTCAAAGTCATTGTCCATGGCTGAAGCCGTAGGCAATGTATTGAACACGGCTATTCCCGCACCGTGCCGCCGCAAGATGGCGGCGTGCGATCGGCCACCTCGCGCACAGAAACGTGCACAAAGCCACTTTGCCTGCACTTGTAATACAAAATAGTATGTGTATCACGTGCGGATTGACAATTGTTCACTCGTGTGGGGTGGTCGCATTCGCCTTCGGCTCGTGCGTCCATCCCCCGCACTCGTGACCAATTGTCAACTTTCCGCACTTGATACACAATATACTATTGTATCCTCTGTCTGGAGCGATTAAAACAAATCACCCTGTACAATTAATCATCCCGAATTCTAAAGCGCCTCGTTAACAGTCCTCAGAATGCAGTAGCGAGGACTCGGACTCGTCCGCGGGTCACGTGACGTCTCAGCAGCCCCAGCAGCAGCAGCCCCAGTCCCAGCACCACCACTCTTCCCTGCAGGAGATCAACCAGGAGGACCTGAGCGCGATCCTGCCCTCGCAGGAGCAGGAGGACGCGCCGTTCGACGGCTTCGAGGACTCCGAGAGCGGGCGACTGGTGTCCAAGGCCATCGAGCGCATGTCCCTGGGCGCGGACTCCGACACGAGCGAGAACGGGGACCAGAATCCTGTGCCCGTGTACAGTTCTAGTCTGCTGCAGCAGTTCGTGGAGAAGACCGCGATGCTGTCGGAGCCGCGGAAGCGGCGCAGCAAGTGCGGCGGCGGCAGCAAGAAGCTGAGCGGCAACGACGCGGAGTACCCTTGCGCGTCCAACGTCTCCCCGGACTCCGGCATCCAGTCGGTGGACAACAGTCCTCTGCACCTGGCGGTGAGCCCGGTGAGTCCCCCGGCGCCGACGCAGTCGCCCGTTCAGCCCCCGGTGAGCAGCAAACCCGCGGTGAACGTCGACCGAGTGCTGTACCCTCCGAAGAGGAAACCCGGTAGACCCGCGAAAGCGGTCTCCGCGCAACCACGCGGACCCGGCAGGCCGCGTCTGCGGCCGGAGATCGTGGAGAAGATCCAGAAGATCGAGAAGGCGGAGAAGGAGAGGAGCGAGTCCGCGAAGAGCGCGAGAAACTCGGACTCCAGGTCGACGGAGAGGAAGCCGGGGAGCGCGAAGGAGGGCTCGAGTCCGAGGAACGTGAAGGAGGACGTAGCCTCCGCCAGGAAGCGAGGCAACGCGAAGCCGACCGCGAAGGAGGACGTCTCCCCCGCGAGCAAGAGGACGAAAGGCAAGGCGGCGGCGATCTGTCAGAAGAAACGTTGCGGTAACTCCTCGGCGAAGCCCTCCCAGGAGAGGATCATGCTGAGGAAGACCGCGACGAGCTCCCCGATGAGGGTAAAGTGCCTAAGCAGATCCACCGCGAGCAAAGTGATGTCGCAGTACGACGGCAGGAGCTACCGGAAGGACAGGAACAACTACGTGCCCAGCAGCAAGAGCAGCGCGGTTCCGCTGACGCGGCAGAAGACCTGCGAGCATCACCAGACGGCCTCGAAGGAGCCGAAGGGCGGATCCGGCAAGCGGACCGGTTCCAAGGAGAACCGGAATAACGCGGCGGCGACGGTGGTCTCCAAGAAGCAGACCCTGAAGAAGGTCGCTGCCTCGGCCTCGGCGGTCGGCAGGCGCGTCCTGAAGGAAAACAAGTGCAACAAGAAGACCCCGGCGGCGAATCATCATCACGAGACCAACGGCGTGGGCGTGCAGACCCTGATCTCGCTGCCGGTGGACGACATCCTGAAGGCCGAGATCATGAAGCACGTGTCGAACGGCAAGGCGAGCGAGAAGACGGCGACGGCGCAGTCGACGACCCAGCACAATCATTGCCACAAGCGTCATCATCATCACCACAAGCATCATCACCGGAAGCTGCTGGCGCCGCCGGAGAAGCCGATCCGCATCATCGACTCGTGCATCCTCCACGAGTTGGAGAAGCTGATCGACGAGTTCGCGAGGTCCTGCAGCTTGGGTAGGAACAACGCGGCCGCGAATCACCCGGAGCTGCCGCAGATCTTCCGCGTGAAGAAGCTGACGAAGAAGAGGAAGGGCGGCGACGCCGGCGCGAGCGACGAGCAGAAGCTGAAGAGGCGGCTGAAGAAGGAGAAGGTGCTGGCCGGCGCGGACTCCAAGAGCAGCGCCAACACCAGCACGAGCTCCAACCCGAACGAGCAGCGGCTGCCACTGAAGAAGCGGCACTATCACGTCTCGAGTCCGCACAGCTCGCAGAGCTCGAACGCCAGCTGCGCGGACGCGAATGCGAACGAGTCCAACTCGACGGAGAGCCACATAGAGGAGGCGATCGAGGCGACGATCACGAGGTACGGCGGCGGCGGCAGCTCGACGTCCTCCGTTCATGACGAGGAGGCCGCGCCGGTGACCCCAAAGAAGAGACCCAGGGACGCCGCCGAAGGCGCGGCCTCGGAGAAGCCGGGAATCGACGAGGAGAAACCCGTCGTTCAGTCATCGGACGTTCAGCCACGCCGGAAGAAGAAGATCGTCAAGGACCTTCGCGTCACCGTCACCAAATTGTCCGAGGCTCACGGCATCCCCGGCAAGGACGCGGAGAGGAGTTCCAAGGTCAACGCGGACAAGCCTGGGAAATTGGAGAAGCTCGCGGTGACGGAGAGACCGATCAAGACTGACAAGTCGTCGGACGAGCACAAACTCGACGCGGAGCACATCCGGAGCATCAAAGTCGACTCGGAGACCCACGTGTCCGAGGCGACCTTCGACGACGGCGGACTCGCCGTCGTCGAGAGCAAGGTGCTGCCGACGAGCAACTCGAGCGTGCCGAATCTCATGAACAACACCGCGGCGATGATCCTCACGAAGAAGAAGATGCGGAGGCGAAAGGCCATCAATCGCACGGGCTTTCCGACCTTGAAGAAGAAGAAGAAGAAGAAGGTGACCGTGGACTCTGCGGCCGCGAAACCGACCCCGGCAACGTCGCTCGGCGCCAAAGAGACGTGCAAGAATCCTGAAGAGGTACCTGAAGAAGCGGAGGACAGCAAGGCGTCCTTGATGGAGAAGAAGGTTCCCCGGAACGTTCCGACGGAGAAGAGCGACGGGAAAATTCCGGTTGCCGCCGGAGACGTGAAGAACAATCTGGACAACTCCAGCACGGTGCAGGAGACCTCCAGTCGAAGCGGCTCGGACGAGGTGACGGAGTCTTGTCCCGGCCAGCTGCGGGTTCGCAAGGACCTGGTGGAGTCCGACAGCAGCGTGCTGTCCGAGAAGCTGTACCCGAGCCCGATCAAGTACGAGAAGATCCCGGACTGCCGGATCTACGACGAGAACGCGTCGCTGGAGGAGTCCCTGGAGCGTTACAATCAGAGTCAGCGGATCGCGGAGCTGAACGAGGAGAACCTGAGGAAGCTGGAGCGCGTGAACGCGCAGGCGGCAGCGAGCGTCAAGATGGAGCTGTCCGGCTGCTTCAACAACAACCACAAGAGAAGACGAGGCTCGACCAGCCCCTCGAATCTCTACGGTAGGAGCGCGAAGAGGCTGAGGAGTGCCGGCTATGATACCGAGAGCGAGGCGCCGCCTAGCAGCGACGTCGCCAGCGAGGATCAGGAGCTCGGCAGGAAGCCCGCGGGACTTTCCGCGCACAATCGGAAGAAGCAGTCGAGGTGGAAGAAACGGTACCTGCAGGCCGGCAACAACATCTTTGAGTACAAGAAGGACGCGGAGCCCTCGAAGAAGCTCGCCGGTGCCGCTGACGCCAAGAGGAAGATCATCGTCTGCCCTACTGGGGAACATTACACCGCCGCTGAGCAGCTGCCAGGTATCATTCCGACCGGAAAGCTCCTGCGACGACAGAAGAAGACGCCGTTTCAGCTCCAGTACGACCTGCTCTGGCTGCACGCTCAGTCCAGGTTACCTAATAGGGATGCGGTACCATCGTGGAACTACAAGTAAGTCAAGCGTGTTGTCTTTTCTCGACCTTCCTAGGCTGGGAACTCTCCAATACCAAGCAGAGATGCGTATTAATAGTTTTGTAACGTTGCAGAAAAATTCGGACTAACATTTACTACGACGTGAAGCCGACGACCCTGTACGAGGCGCAGGCGTGCGAGTGCAAGCCGGAGAGCGGCTGCGGGGACGACTGCATCAATCGCATGGTCTTCAGCGAATGCTCGCCGCAGCTGTGCCCCTGCTCCGACAAGTGCGCGAATCAGAAGATTCAGAAGCACGAGTGGTCGCCGGGATTGCAGAGGTTCATGACGGAGGACAAGGGTTGGGGCGTGAAGACTCAACAGGCTATCAAATCCGGGGACTTCATCCTCGAGTACGTGGGCGAAGTCGTGTCCGAGAGGGAGTTCAAGTCTCGAATGGCGACCAGGTACGGATTCCTTTTAAAAATCATTTCAAAGTCTTTTTGTTTTTTAAATAGAACCGCTATATTTTTTCTATATATACTCTTGTAGCTTTTTACGGTGAATATTGCGAGAAATCAATATATTAAAATAAAAAAATTAAAAAAAATTGATCTTTAAATGACCTTGAAAAGCGCCCTTTGAAAAGTCAGTAGTACTATCTGTCTTCCTTTTTAAATAAAAAAATGTTTACTTGAAACATTTTGTTATGCGATAAAAGAATTTGGTGATCGAAAAAACAAATAACTTTGAAATGACCTTTTCATCGATGAAAATGGGACACCCTGTATACCGGAAGATACGAAGATACTGTAATAAAATTTGCAAATGTACATGAAAATACAGATACGCCAATGACACGCATCATTATTGCCTGCACCTGGACGGCGGTTTAGTGATCGACGGTCATCGCATGGGCGGCGATGGGAGGTTCGTGAATCACTCGTGCGAGCCGAATTGCGACATGCAGAAGTGGAGCGTCCTCGGCCTACCGCGTATGGCACTATTCGCATCCAGAGACATCAAGCCGGGCGAGGAATTGACGTACGATTACAATTTCGCGCTTTTCAATCCGTCGGAGGGTCAGCAATGCAGATGTGGCAGCAGTGCCTGTCGAGGTGTCATAGGTAAATCATCATCATCATCATCATCAGGTGGAAGATAAATTTTTAAAGATAAATTCACTTGGTAAATTCTATCCGGCAGGTGGGAAGAGTCAACGGGTGGCCAGAAGCGTCCCGTCGTCCCTGCCGTCAGCCCAGGTGGAATCCACCGAGAGAAGGTCCGTGGGCAGACCGCGGAAGAACATTCGAAAGTCGAGCAACGCGCTGCAATCGGCCAACTCGAAGAACCTCTGCAAGTCTAGGAAGGTCGGGGACTCGACCTTGACACACAACACGCCCCAGCTGAAGCCGATGTCCTATCAGCAGCGTTGCTTCGCGCGCGAGCACCACTGCTTCCTGCTGAGAAACCTGGAGAAGGTGCGCAGGCTCAAGTCGGCCCAGTCGGTCCAGCATATCCAGGTGCAGAACGGAAAGGCGAAGCCCGGCGGCGCGAGCGTCGCCAAGGAGAAGAGCTCCGGGGACTCCAAGGCCCAGTCCGACGCCTTTTTCTCGCAGCTGACCGCGTTGACCAACACCAACGCGCGAACCGTGCGAACGCGTAGGCTCGCACAGGCTCAGGATGACCCGGAGGTGCACAAGACCGCGAAACTGGCCAAGGTCGGTCGATGAAACCACGTCAAGTTCTTCGTTATTATTTTATTATTATAAGATTAACATCATATCTTTCTTTACAGGTATTGAAGGAATTATACACGATCGTGACGACGGCGAACGACGAAAACGGCCAGCCGCTGTGCGCGCCCTTCATGAACTTACCCCCGAAGAGGAAACTGTCTGATTATTATGAGAAAATTGCGGAACCCATCGATCTGAGCGCGATAGATCAGTGCATTGGCACCGGTCATTACAAGACAGCGGAGCAGTTTGATCATGACATGATCAGGCTCTTTGACAACAACGTGAGGTTCTTCGGCAGAACGTCCGAGATAGGAATCGCCGCGGCGAGGCTCCGGAAGCTGTATCTCAGCAGTAAACCAGATTTCGTGGATGCTATCACGGAGGCGACCGGGTCTCCGCCGGCTCAGAGCTTCCTGCCGCCTCGTGGATCCACCGCCGGGGAGGAAGATGTCATTAGATGCATCTGCGGGCTGCACAGGTATCTTAATTACCAAATATGCATCTGGGAAGATTGAAAATAGAGAATCATCTCGGATAGCAAGCCCAAGTAGAACAGAAAATCAAAATAATATCATTTTGACGTCATTGATCAAATTTGGAGTTCAAATTTGATCAATGACGTCAAAATGATATTATTTTGATTTTCTGTTCTACTTGGGAAGCGTACATCAGTTTAACGCCCAATGACGTCAGACTGACGTCATTAAACGTCAAAATGACACTATTCTGACGTCTAATGACGTCATTTGACATCAAAAGCACTCAGGGACTTTGCTATTCCCAAGTAACAAATTGATGTCATTAAACATCAAAATGGCGTCATTTTGACGTTTAATAATGTCAGTTGGACGTTTAATGACGTCAGTTTGCTAGTTGGGAATCGATAACTCCCTGAATGTTTTTACAAAGACAATCCAAGTAGCAGACTGACGTCATTAAACGTCAAAATGACGTCTAATGATGTCATTCGACATCAAAAGCACTCAGGGAGTTGTCTATTCCAAGTCTAATGACGTCAGTTTGCTATTTGGAATTTCTTCTGACGTGTATTTTGAAATTATCTTCATTGAAATGTTTCCTCACGCTGATAATCGATGCAGGGACGAAGGTCTGATGATCCAGTGTGAGCGCTGCCTGGTTTGGCAGCATTGCGACTGCGTGAAAGCCGACACGAGCATCGAGTCTTATTTATGCGAGCGATGCCAGCCGCGCAAGGTCGATCTGGAGATACCATTGGAGGGTGAAGAGGAGGAGGAGGGCAAGAAGCACTACGTGACGTTGTTGCGGGGCGACCTGCAGCTTCGACAGGGCGACACGGTATACGTCTTGAGGGACACTCCTGATAAACACACGTATAAAACTATACAGAAGCCCGACTACGAGCAGATGGACATTTTCAGGATCGAACGTCTGTGGAAGAATCACGAGTAAGTGATTGTTTTGCGATCAGTCGAGTTGAGTGAGATAACAAAAAATATTAAGCTAGCTTGACCTTGAAATTAAATTATCTGCATTTGACAGAGGCGAGAGGTTTGTGTTTGGACACCACTATCTCAGACCGCACGAAACTTATCACGAGCCAACGCGAAAGTTCTACGTCAACGAGGTCGTCTGCGCACCCTTATACGAGGCTGTTCCTTGTGATCTCGTGGCCGAGCGATGTTGGGTGCTGGATCCACATACTTTCTGTAAAGGTATATGTTGTACAATATTTTGTCATCGATTATATTAGCGTAGTAAGTTTTATTTTAAAAAATTTAGACAAAAATTGTCTAAGGTTTATAAGTCTGAGTTCTTGCCGCGGCTATGTCAGATTGTGACGTCAGAGGCGAGAAAGCACACGCTGAAAATTCTTAGACGGCATTTCGAAATAAAAAGATATGAAACGGCACTTCAAATAACTTTAGCACTGTAGACTTCCTGGTCGATGAAGAACCTTAAAAAGGTCTACTTATTAGTCTTGTCATTTTGATCTTGAATGAATCATGTAATTATTTGCAACTAGCAGTTACATATTTTTTTCAACAAATATGTTTTTTACAACTACTTGGCCATCCTATCCTTACAACTTTTTATGCCAAATATTACGAGAAATCAATTTATGTAAAAAATCAAGATGATCTTGTCTTGATCTTGACTATGTCATGTAAGATGAAACTGATGACTTTTGTCTGAAACATTTTTTTTTTTTATAAAACTTACATTTTTCAAGATATTTTCCCGAACTTTTCGAATATTCTGTTCAATTAACTTTTTGAGTTCAATGACCTTGTCTTGACCTTGACTGTATAATCTAAGATGAAACTAACGATTTTTGTCTAAAACATTTTTTTTTATAAAACTTACATTTTTCAAGATATTTCTTCCAACTTTTCGAACGCCCTGTTCAATTAAATTTTTTATCACACCCTCGTTTGAATCAATTTCAGGACGTCCGGTCGGCTCGACTCCCGAACACACTTACGTGTGCGAGTACCGCGTGGATCGCGCGGCGCGACTCTTTACGAAGGTGGCCAGAGCGAGACACGCTGTATGCACGAAACCTTACGCATTCGAGACTTTCCCGGAACGTATAAAACACTATCGCACCTATCTGGTAAGTTTATTATCTATACAAGATTAAGGTATCAATATCTTTTTCTCCGCAACATCACATCAAGTATCGACCTCTTATTTCCAGCCTCACAGCCTAGATGGGATCAAGATGTCCAAGGAGAAGAAGAAGAACAACGGTCAGGAGATGGACGGAAACCAAAAATTGGAATCCGATAACGTGCATAAAATGCATGGAAAGGAACACAAGTGCGTCAGCAGGACGAGACGAAGATCAGGCGAAATCCTGACAGTCGCGTCTCCTATAACATCGTACGCTCAGGTAAAAACGATCTCGAAGAAGAAGTTGAAGAGGGCTCAAGTTTCTTCCTTACGTAATCATATTTGCTATATATATTTTTCTTCTGCAGAGGGAAGAGCAAAGGAAGAAATTGAATGGCATCCTGTTGAATCTACTGCAGAGGATGCCGAATAAGAAGGACCCGTTGGATCTGTCGTTCCTTTTAGAAAGGAACAGGCGAAATCGAAAAAGACCTGGTGGACTTAACCCGTGACAGTGGGTGACGTCACCACGATAATGATATATCCGTACTGTATATATATATAAAAGTTATAACTTATAGAGTTATACCTTATACACACAAAAATCTCAGTCAGATAATATATAATAGGCTAGGTGTCTCAGGTAGCAAGCTTACGTCATTTTGACGTTGATGACATAATTTTGACGTCGATGACGTCATTATGATGTCTAATGACGTCATTTTGACATCGATGACGTCACTTTGACGTTTAACGACGTCAGTTTGCTACTTGGATGGTCTCGATCGTTCTAAACTTGATTCTATCGCGTATCAAGATAATAATTGTACATTTATCTCCCTGCTCTTCGCATCCCTCCCCTCAACGAGGAGAGTGCGGGAAATGATCTTTCGTCCAGCCCGTCCATCGATGTAATTATTGTAATTTATATCAATATATCTATAATCAGGAGTAACGCTTATTTAAGCAAATGACAATTTAGATTTTTTTCTACATTTTATTTTCTTTTTTTTTTTCATAGATAATTAGATGTTAAAATGTACTTCCCTTTTTTTGTATTTGCTCTGATTCTTTAAATGTGGTAAAAATATTACTCCATCAAAGAAGTGTCATCATGTCTTGTAAGCAATTTGTAGGTAGACTACGCTGACATAATTAGAATATTTAAACTGATAAAGATAAATAAATATGGATTCTCTCCGACAGTTGGGCTATATGACTTGTATAGAAAAGTGTCATTTGTACATTCTTTTCATAGAGTTGACAGTAGCTAAATGTGTACAAATTAAACGTGTTATACATACATAGAGCAGGAGGGTGGTTCTACGAAAGGAAGAAATAGATGTTATTGAATTGCGAATACTGAGCGTACATATATATTTACATATGTATAGGTATGTGATGATGCTTTATCGTGCACAAAGGTATAATATTATATTTTTCATAATCGAATCTTTTTTATTTGAATCAAGTGTGTAATATATATATACTTTCTTCGCTTTTACTAGGGGAAGAATATCTTTACTATATAATGTATTTAATTTATTGATATATATATATTGAGAGAATATAGTGGACCGGACGCGATAAAGTCGCAATAATTCCAAAATTGTACATATGTATTCAGGACTTTATATTTATTATTGCATTACACAGTATGGTAGATACATATTATATATTTTGTAAATTTTATTTTATTTTATTTTTTCCTTGTTTTTCTTTTATATATATATATATATATATATATATATATATATATATATATATATATATATATCATATACGTATATTATGTATACATTAATTCTTGTGGAATAAATTTTGGTATATTATACGTTTTCAAATTCAACGTAAGACGAAAGTATATCAAAAGAAATACCATTAATATGTGTGCATTTTTTTCCCATAAAATTATAATTACCACGCACGAGAGATATTTAATTTTATTTAACGCACTTTTTTCCGATTTATTAAAAAACATGAAAATATATTTATTATATTGTGTAATTCAAAAATAAAAAAAAAGAAGAAAGAGGATTTATGAAGCTGGCCTTCTAAATTGTAATATAAAAAAGGGTGTGTGTGAACTGGAATTTTAAAATGTATGGTGAGATGAGAATTTAACAAGTAAATCGTAAAAAAAGAGGGGGATATGTTAAACATTGATTTTTTTCCATGACATATAATACACAGTTGCATCTTACTCGATTATTTTTGCGCGATTGAGCGAAATATAAATATTTTAATGCATACAATAATTATGCATTTTTTTTACATAGAATTTTTATTATTGCGAATACATTTTTAATGATTTGGAATTATTTTTTTGCCAATTATACATCTACTTTTGCATATTTTTATATATATGCAATATTTGTTTTTTAAAATAACTTTTGTCTGTAGGTGAACAAGTCGTTTGTCAATCATGTAATAATAATAATAATAACGGCATTAACAATTATTAGCAGCATTATGTAACAATTTTTAATTCGATATCTTTATTGAAATCATGTTATACCATGATGCATCAATTTACGCATCGTTATATCGTATTAAAAAAATACTACATGCCCAACTTGTAAATAAATGCGAGCGAAAACAAAAAATATATATATATCCGATTATAATTTTATTAATTTATGTTATTGACAAGGTTTGAGAAACCGATTATAATATAAATTGTTGTTTTTTGCAATAAAGGGATTATTGTATTTTCGCACTGAAGAAATATATATATATCTTTCGTCTTACGTTTTATATTATATATATATATATATATATATATATTAAATTATATATTATATATCTTTTGTCTTACATTTTATCTCGAATTATTTAAATCGCGAGAACGCGGCTTTTTGTAAAATTCCATTGTTAAGCAAATTTTTGTTTTTGCAACATTGTATCATTAATCAATAATTAATGTCGTGTGTTTGAATTGTGTACGTATATACATATATATTTAAAGCAATATAATGCGATGATGCATTAGATGGATATTTTTCAGATCAATATCATTCGTGACGGATGGATGTGTATAATTATATGATTTGTGGCCTCCTGAGTTCTTTTTTGCTTATCTATGATTAACATCATCATTATAACACATTTAGATATTATAATCAAAAGAAATCAGAAAAAAAACAATTGTTGCGACAAGCTTTCAGCTAATATGTAGTGCATGTACATATATACTATATTGTATTGTATTCTGATAAAAACACAAATACACGTGAAAAGTTTTTTCCTTACATAGATATACACATATTTTATTCTCTCGTCAATCTTTTTCTCTTTAATAAGTACCATACTCATATAAGTTTAATATATAATGTGTGTTGCGCAAGACTGAATATGTGTAACGCATAAAATTACATATTACTTATGAATGTAAGATACATATATCTATATATAGGTGAAAGGCCGAAATAAATAGAAGAACCTTTTTATTTTTACGAATAAGTTTGTACATTTTTGTGTCAACAATTAAGAGTTTACATAGATTATTAATTTTTTTTTTGCTTTTCATCATATAGAAAAAAATTACTAAGTGATTATCGTCATTACACAATATTTCTATCATTTTCTTCTTCACTTATGTGGTAACACAGAGGTACTAGCATACGCTACGTGTAGATTAAATATAGTGTTCTTGATTATTTCTTAAAAATAGCTCACCCCTCTCTTTCTCTCTCTGTTTCTGTCATTTTTTTTTCTTAATATTTTTTTAAATTATATCTAACTTTGCGTATCGTATTATTTCTTAATTGTTAAATTATTTTCTCGATTTCACACAGAAGTACTTTAGCTCGGAACATCACACACTGTACAATATGTACGGAGACAAAAAAGAATAAAATAAAATAAAGAGCTAAAATGATATATATATATATATATATATATATATATATATATATATTGTATTGTATATAAGAGCTAACGATACGGTGTACAAATGAAGGTACACACTGTACAATATGTATGGAGAAAAAGAAAACGCGAGCTAAATAAGACAATCATTCTTCGAAAAAAAAGAACGTAAAAAAGAATCTCTTACAGCTGAACAGATTCGTGAAAGAAAAATGTCGCGTTTTGTTCGCAAGATTTTTTTTCTTTCGACTGACAATTAAAATATAAAGGTGATTCGTATATTTACTAGTGTTTGACCGCACTTATTTTCATATCGTCGCTAAATTATAATAATTATATTTTCGATTCACTGAATCTTAAACATCTGCAATGTAGGTATCGTCGAGCAAATCGATTTTTTCACGCTGTTTTTTTTTTTATTATACCCCCAGGATGGATATTGATAAACATCGTGTTTATATAAACATATAAACGGTATTTATATATATAAAAATATAGTCGTCGACACAAGATGCAAGATTAGATAAAAATAAACAAATTTCGCTCTTTGTGTTTCTCAAGAAAGGATGCAAGGAAATTGAATATTAATTATATGTCCTAGCAGAGGAAGTACGTAGGGTAACAAATGCATTATGAATCGATAATATATATAAAATTAGCTGTAAAAATCAAATAAGTAAAATTAGAAAAATTGGAAAAATCATACTTTATGTAGATAATAAATCGTGTAACTAGAGAAGATACAATACAGGTACAAACATTTGAAATCGCTTGATTAAATGATAAAGTTAAAATTGTCGTAGCAAGAGAGAGATTTTATTTCGCATGTTGTGCTGTGCAATGAAAAATCTGCATGTATAAAACGTGTGTCGAAGAATAATTTATTTGTGCCACAATATTTCTTTTTTTTCCCTTATACATCGTCGATAGAAAGATAAAGATAAAGAGGTATACAATATATTATATATATTTTTTCCTCTTTCTAAAAGGGCACTGCTATATAAAGGTTCACTATTCAGCGAATTCGGTTGGATGCACTAGTTGATGATTAAAGTGTTTTTTGTCTTAAAATTAATTAATTAATTTAGATGTAAACACAAACATAAGCGAAACAATCTGACATATAATACTAACTAATGTGATGTATCAATTCGTGCTCTTCATCTCGCATTTTGTCCAACTTTAAGGCTCCTGACTCCTCGTCGACGGTGTCAGATTTTGACGTCAGAGGCGAGAAGACACCAAAAAATTCTTAGATGCCAAATAAAAGATATTTCGATGAAACAGCAGGTCTTAAAATACCTCGAAAACTATTATTTTCTCTTTATAATCCAACAGCTGTAAAATATGTTGATTAGGTATTTAAAAAATATGCTAAAGCCATCTGAAATAGTCTTTTTATTTAAAAATGGCATCTAAAAATTTTCACGCTGACGTCACAATCTAGCCGCGACAAGGAATCGAGGAGTCTTAATGCGAAAAAAATTCCTAAGTGCTCAATGCTATGTATATTTGTCTTGTGTAAATTTATGTATAGGGTGTCCCATAGGAAATATCTGAAACTAATCAGCTGTCATTTTTTAATGCATGCGGTTATTGAGAAAACAAAAATTGTGTTGGAAAGAGAAAAGTCTGCAGTTTTTAACTGATATAAATAAAATATTTGTATACCAGTTTATTTTATTGATAAAAAGAAATGAAAAAGCTAATAATCACATAAAAATAAATAATTTCAACAGTACTAGAAGCACTGTTGAAAATATTTATCATTAGTTTATGTGATTATTAGCTTTTTTTAATTTCTTTTTATCAATAAAATAAACTGGTACACAAACATTTTATTTATATCCATTAAAAGCTGCAGACTTTTCTCTTTTCAACACAATTTCTGTTTTCTCAATAACTGCGTACATTGAAAAAATCACAGCCGATTAGTTTCAGCAATTTCCTATGGGACACCCTGTCTAACAATCTCCCCGAGAAATACACTAGTGCCCATTGAACCAAATTCGCTACATCTATTTAGTATAAATAGATCAATAATTTTTTCTGCATAATTCTTTTTACTTTATATAGATCTGTACATATTTACACGAGCTCTTTTTAGGATAATTACTTTTTTTCTTTTCTCGACCTTTTTATAATGCTACTTGCGTGTAGTTTGTACCCATACGTAGTACTCTTCCTCTTTCTCCTACCTCTTTTTTTACGATTTCTTGAGAAAGTGTTGCGATAAAAAGTTATATCTCTTTTTTTCCTCGCGAATGTGTGTTACATTATCGTTTTTTTAATGCACTTAGATTATTAGACCTGTGTTTCCGGTAAGGATTTTCGAAACTCGCTAGAGATGTATCTGTTATAATTTTTAAAATAATTTCTCATTTGCTGCAATGAGAAAGTTTTCTTCATAATAGCAGTATTTTCGCGTATTTAAACACTTGTCAATACATATATTTTGATGTGTGTGTGTGTATATGTGTGTGTTATTTTGACGTAAATTCTTTTATCTACTTATGAGATTGTTGTATGATTGTTGCAGTTGCTCTGCGAAAGGATAATTCATTCATTTGCGCATAAGACTCTGTTATTCTTGCAAATAGTATCCTGCTCCCATATCGGTAGAAGTAGTTGCAATCATGTCACTTGTAATCTCCTGCAAATACATACACCATTTGTAAGATCCACATCATTACACGAGATACTATCTATTGTGACGAGAAACCAGAATCAAGAAACTTTCAATGTTTAAGCAAAAACAAAAACAGCGTTCTATATGTTTATACCTTACATTCAGTTTCCATTCTCGGTTTAGATTTACGATGGTGGATTATTGTTTGCTTACAGCTTGGCTGCCAGCTGCAGTGGTCTGACCACTCTGTTGTTGCTGGCCCCAATACTGGTTGTTGTAATACTGCTGATTCCAGCTGCTGTTCCAATTACCATTGCCATATCCCTGTTGATTGTATCCAGCTTGACTGTACGACGTGCTCGTGTGACCGTATCCTTTCCAATTGCCTCCCCATTGTTGCTGACCCCAGCTACCTTGTTGGTTCCAGCTACCCTGGGACTGATTACTCGACCAATCTTGACCCCAACCTCCAGACTGCTGCGATCCTTGATAACTCCCGCTAAAAATCAATGTAAGTACTCCGGTTTTTTTTCTTTTTCTTTTTCTTTTTTTTTGAGGAAATACCGTAGAAACAAATAGCAAACTGACGTCATTAAATGTCAAATAACGTCATTTTGATGTTTAATGACGTCATTCGATGTCAAAATGATGTATCCTTGTAATGTCATCCCAAGTAACAATTGACATCATTAAATGTCAACATGATATCATTTTGACGTTTAATGACATTATTCTGACGTTTAATGGTGTCATTCTGATGTCTAATGACGTCATTCAATGTCAAAATGATGATATCCTTGTAAATATCATCCCAAGTAACAAACTAACGTCATAAAATGTCAAAATAATGTCATTTTGACGTCTAATTACGTCATTAGATGTCGAAATGATGTATCCTTGCTATCTGGGATGGTTCTATCGCTGAATAATTATCAATTACCTCATAGAACCCCAACCTCCCTGTCTAGGTGCGACAGATCGGTTTCTGTCATTTCCTGATCTCCTGTCGACACCGCCGGTTCTTCTGTCGACTCCTCGTATCATCGCGGGCCCAGGTCGTCCTCGCAGCCTCCATGGAGGAGGGATGTAGCCACCAACATGCCTCATATATCTCTGCGGTCTCTCTCCTCTCCAACCACCCATATTGGGACCACGTCGAGGAGGAGGATTGCGTCCTCTGTCTTGATCTAAAAATCGAAATGTATATATACATAATAGTATATCGTACCATAACATAATTTATAATGAATAATTGCAAATAATAATGTCCTCACAATTATTTCTTCGATTATGATCTCGCGTGTCTCGATTGTTTCGCGAATCGCGCGTTTCTCTGTTGCTGGCCTCGGTCTTGTCGAGACGCGGCCGCTTTGAGGCAGTTGATTGCTGGCCAAATCCGGCCTCCTTACCCTCCTTGTTGTATTTCTCGATAAGCTTCTTACCCTCCTCCTCGTCGAGTCCGATCCACTCCACCGCTTCGAAAGTCTCCCCCGCCGAAGGTGCAGCGAAATTTGCTGTAATTATCGACGCTTCGATTAAACACTGTTGGCAAATCACGAGCATTTATTGAATAAAGTGTCAGCTAAAGATACCCTTCATCTCCTTGAGATCAGACTCCGAGACGGTTCCTTCGATCGCACTGTGTCCGGACAAACGTTGACTGTATTCTTCATCCGTTGGTACCACAACGACGGCTTTTCGCTGATATTCGCAGAAACTTCGTATCTTACGTCTTTGTACGGAAGAATATACGTTGCTCTTCTGCTCACAAAATGTATATATCAGCAAATAATTGTTATAAAATGTTTTCTTTAAATTTAGCAAGTTTCAGTTCTCACAAACCACTATATTCTTTCGTACCTGATCTAATATGTAGTTACGCCTTCTGCCACTTGCCACTTCGATCAGCTGATCGAGTGCGCGATTGCACTTGTCAATAACTTCTCGTCGACTATTTTCCTGATCCGACAGAGCAACGTCCTAAAAAGATATCATAATTAATATTACATATCTATTATATGTATACATATACATATATTAAAACATTAATATATTTTAATATATAATATTTCCTATATATTTTATTATTTTATATATTTTATTATATTATATATTTTATATAAAATAAATATTTAATACAATAAATTATATAAAATATACAATAAAACATAATAAAATATTATATATTAAAATGATAGAACTTTATAATATTTGCAGACACTTACTCCTGTCTTTTCCACCAAGTTGTGGAGCGCTAAGATATTATACAATTTATTTGGATGCTCGGCCGCGTGGTTCCTCGCCCAGGTGGTTTTTCCGGCCGCAGGTAACCCGCACATCATGATCACCTCGCAGTGCGCCTTCGCGTCCGGTCTACGCGGCCCGGCAACTTTGTCCTTCGATTCCACGTTACCTACTAAGGTATAACCGGGAATTTGTTTGCACCAGCCCTGCTCCTGCCCGAAATTGCAGACGAACGTGCAGTTTTTGCTGAGAATGTGCGGAAACAGGGGTCTGTCGCCGAGCTCCTCCTTGGAGATGCTGAACGCGGATCCGAGATCCTTGCCGTTCACCGTGTAGGATAACTCTATGGTGTCCTCGGGCGTCATATCCAAGTAGCAGCCCACGACGTCGTCCTTGCCGAATGGCGAGCCGTAATCTGTGAATTTCGAGTCGGTGCCTTTCTGTCCGGAACTGGTGTACGCGTAACTCAGTCTCTCCTCGCCGAGTTGCATGGATGAGAAGAGAACCGACCAACCGAGTCTGAGTGCATGTTGCTCGTCTTTCACTGCAGCATGATGTTCTGTAATTTTGGCTTCGTAGTATACTTTCCTATTCGCAAAACCATAAGATGCTCTTGCGCCAGCCCATATGTGGCAGAAGTCGCTGTTGTGCATAGGTGTGGCAGAGAAAAATCCTTCTTTGTTGATGATTAAGTTCAAGTCGGAATCATCTAAAAGAAAGAATTTATACAAATATAATAATAATAATAATATACTTTTCTTCAAGATATATATATATTTTATATATTTTTTATTTTATAAATTTTTTTATCATATAGGTATATTTATACATATTTTATATTTATTTAATTAATATATTTAATTAAATTTATATATATATATATATATATATATATATATAAATAAATAATAAATAAATAAATAAATATATATATAAATAAAGATAATTGCATAAAAATTTATAAGAACTTACACCAAGATAAGATCACGGCTGATTCATCGAAATCTGGTTCATCCTCGACTTTCTGCGATACAGGAGATGCCTGATGAACTTCCGCTGGACTAGGAGATCTCTTTCTTTTTCTGTATTCTTTTTGACTTGATTCTTCTGCATCCAGCTTGTTTGCACCATCTTGTTTTACTTCGGATGTTTCTGTAATCTTTTTTTATACAAATAAAGATAAGTAAATGACGATTAAAAATTGCGATTTTTATATTAAATCTAAGAGAAATAATCTGGATAAAAATATTTAATATTTTACATGTAAGATATATAGATTTATATACCTGTTCATCTTGTGGAATATTATCTGCTTTCTCATCTTCATCTTCTACATTAACTGAAACGTCCATCGCTTCATCTTGCACTGTATAATCATCATTAATAGTCTTTTCTTCATTATATGATTTGTCTACCTGATCAGGTATCACATGTTGTTGTTCAACTTGTGGAATGTTTACAGTATTCTTAACGTTATATGTATCTGCTATACATTTTGCGTCTTCTTTCCCAATCGAAATTTTATTTTCCACGCCTTTCCCGAAAGTGTTTTGCACTTTATCGACCTCATCATCTTCCTCAACTTCGGTTTTTTCTTCCAGGACTTTGTAAACTTCATCTATACTAGACTCTTTTGTTTTGTGCTCTTCCCGAGGTATAGAAAATCGATCTACACATGCAATTGTACTAGCTTTTACAGACGGCTCTGTCACAGGTACTTGGAGAACATTCGCCTCATACTTATTATCTTCTAAAATATTAACACGCTTCGCTTCCTCCTCCTGAGATTTTAGCGGCGAATAAATCTTGTTCTGAATAACATTATCTTCCCGTTTTTCTTCAGGCTTTTCAGGGGACCATTTTGATATTCCTTCTTCTTGCACTACATCCTCAGAAGTAGACTCTGATATTGTCGTTAACGAGTCATATGATTTCTCAATATACTGAAGTTTACTCGGAGTGGATTGCTTCGACGAATTTGGAGTAGTAGCTATTCTCGATGTGTTTCTTGTAGAAACCTTTGTAGGAGTCACCATAGAAGAACTCCTGGACGCTCTGCTGGGTGTCCTCGGTGGTTGCCGTGCGGCGTCCGCAATTCTTTCTTGCGTTTCTTTGAAGGCTGTGTCACCTGTATTCTCCGCATACAAAGGTTTTTCTTGACCATCTATGGAAAAAAAACGAAATTATCATTTTATATCTTTCTTTCAACAAACTTCTTCAAAGATAAAGTTATCATTTTATCTAAGCAAGGTTCTTTGAAGAAGTAGAAAAGAAATATTGAACTAAATATTAAGAATATTTATATACATAAATAAAGAGTAAGACAAAATATAAAGTTATTAATAATATCTTTGCAGATTTTTTTGAAGAAGAAGACTTATCATGCTATCTTGCAGACTTCTTCATCTTTGAAAAAGGTATTGTGCAATATTAAAGATATTTAAATAATTATTTAGATATATAATCTATTATTTACATATATAAATAAAAATCTTGTATAGTGTAGGGTTATTGTATATCTTTGAACTTATTATATATCTTCGAAGAAGAAGAAGAAGAAAACCTATTACACTATATTAGAAACTCTGAATATATAAATATAGTATAACAAAAAATTATCATTTTATATCTTTGCAGACTACTTTTTCTTTTTTTAAAGAAGTAGAAGACATCTCGCTATATTTAGATACATAAAGATCTTGTAGTGTAGCATTATATCTTTGTATTTATCATATATCTTTTCTTCTTCAAAGATGAAGACATATTAAAGACTCTATTTAGATACATAAATAGAGTATGACAAAAATAAAAGTATCATTTTATATTTTTGCAGATAGCTTTTTTAAAAAGTAAAAGACATCGCACATTATATTAAGATACATAAATAAAGCTCTTATAGTGTAGCATTATTTTATATCTTTACACTTCCTATATATCTTCCTCTTCTTCTTCTTCGAAGACATAAATAACACTCTATCAGAGCTCCTATTTAGATCCATAAATACAGAAATAATCATATTTTACATCTTTGCAGATTACTCCTTCTTTTCTGAAGAAGCCACTGCGCTACGCAGATACATAAATAAAGAAACATTCCTCCGCACACTTTCAAGACACCAATCGCACTCTTCAGCTGCAGCTTGCAGACATCCTAACAGACGTACTCGTGCAGGAGGGCAGCGTAACCACCAGGAAGTCACCTCGGGACCGGCTAGGAGGTGGGGAAAGGACAGGGACGAGGAAGATAGGACCTTAGATGACAACAACACTTACAGTCCTGCTGCTGCGTCTCCTCCTGCAGCACCTCCTCTTCCTCCTCCTCCTCCAGAGCCTTGCGTAGCCGATCGACGAGCACTGGCTTGTTGCCCTTGGTGTCGAGACCGCGCTCGCTCAGCGCCGCCCGTAACTCTATCACTTTCAATTTAGACGGATCCATTGTGCGCGCGCGACGTGCCCGGTCAGCCAGTTAGCCGGATTCATGCACCCCCTGCAAGCCACCCGTTTGACGCGAATGCGAGAGGAGTCTCTTCCCTCTTCACGAAAGGCCCATACACTTATTACCATACACGCGCTATGCTGCTCCGAGCCGCGCTGCGCGTACACAATATGGCGGCGACCGCGGCGACCCTCGTCGGCCCGCAAACACCTCGGTTACGTAGCGCGCGCGCGCGCGCGATTGGTCGGCGCGCGGCGTCGTTTCTGGGGCGACGCGCGAACGCCCGGCCAATCGCGCGCGCCGTCTCATACGCCGGCCAGCGCGGCGCGGCCGCCGATTGGCCCGCGCCAAGGCGGGACGCGCGCCCATTGGTCGAGACGCTTCCGCCGTCCCTGTCAAATTTCAAATACCGTACATCCTTGATGTGAACCGTATTTTTTTCCGTAATACTTATTAGGTTGCATTCCAAAACGTCCTCTTCGTGGAAAATTCTAGTATTTTAATATAATATTATATAATTATATAATATTATATAATTATATAATATTATATAAGTGCCCAGATAGCCACATATAGATTATCAGTAAAATTTTCCTCGAAGAGAACGTTTTGGAACGGAACCTTTTTTTTGTGTTTTATTGTTCTGGTCCTACATACTTTTATATCTGAAGAAAAGTTAAATATCAATTTTGTTTTTAAATATCAATTATTAAAATTAATTAATGAAAGGCTCGTATAAATTAAACAAAATTAAACAATCATATATAGTAGGCCAACTAAACGAGCAAATAAATAAGATGTAAAAAATTTTTTTTATTAATAGTTAAATCATTAAATTAACATTCCGTTACAGAATCGATATAAATTGTAAACGTTTCGACTGCACTACAGTCTTTATCAATACATAAAAATTAAATATTAAAATATAAAGTTAGATGTTAAAAATACAAAGTTAGTTAAATATTAAAATATAAAATTGAAACGATTCTTCGCTGTTGACCAATAGATATGCAAGGCGATTGGTCTGAGATGCCAAGTTATGCGACATTTGAGCATGATTATCGTTTTAACAAGTCCTTTTCCCCGATATTTCAAGTGTGTGTTGCGAAGTCTGAATACCCCTCAGTATATTCAGGGTATTCAGACTTCGCAACACACACTTGAAATATCGGGGAAAAGGACTTGTTAAAACGATAATCATGCTCAAATGTCGCATAACTTGGCATCTCAGACCAATCGCCTTGCATATCTATTGGTCAACAGCGAAGAATCGTTTCAATTTTATATTTTAATATTTAACTAACTTTGTATTTTTAACATCTAACTTTATATTTTAATATTTAATTTTTATGTATTGATAAAGACTGTAGTGCAGTCGAAACGTTTACAATTTATATCGATTCTGTAACGGAATGTTAATTTAATGATTTAACTATTAATAAAAAAAATTTTTTACATCTTATTTATTTGCTCGTTTAGTTGGCCTACTATATATGATTGTTTAATTTTGATCAATTATTAACCTGCTGATGGCCAAAAATTACACCTATATGCGACTGAGTAAAAAAAGAATTAAGAAGAAGTTATAATTTATTTTAACTTTTTAGTTGGACAAAAAAGACTGGGAGGATGAGAATGTGCATTATTTTTACAGATCAATTTCACTGCCTCCGATAATTCTACATCATAGTTAAAATTGCTGTTATATATATTACTGATCTTAGATGTCAGCGAAAAAATATTTTGATATAAACTTGACATGTATGTATGAGGTCGTAAATATAAAAGGAGAATTAACTAAAGAATTACAGCTTCTTATACTAAATTATTATACAAATAATAAAATAAAAAACTGAATTTCTTGAACGTTTTTTATTTTCTTATATTTCTTTTATTTTATTTTTATTTCTTTTATTTATTTATATATCAGAATAATACAAAATATTTCTCGGGTTGGACGATGGTCGTACACAAGGTACTTAGATGAACGATGGGAGGGGAAGGAAGGTCATCGCATGAGGACCTTCCTTCCCCTCTCGTCGTTTATCTACGGGCCTTGATCTTGATATGGATGACGTATGACGTCAGCTCGCGCTTGGCTGATCAGCTGTTTGGGATTTCTTATAGTATAATAGTTTATTCTTGCAGGCACCTTGGAATCCAATAATTATGCAGAAACCAATGGCATAAGAAAGACGAATGTTTTTTGGCCTGTAAAAATCTGGGATAAAGTTGTCTTGTTCAAGCTGCAATTCTGGGATACATCAGAGAGCAGTATAAAAAAATATAATCACATTCTGCCGGTACTTAATTGAAGCGCTAAGAAATTTTTGAATAGCAATGTATGATTTGAATAGCTATATATATTCTATATTAAAAAGAAAATGTATTTTATTTCAGGCATGCAAAGACAAAGTTGATGCAATGTGCTCTGTGTTTTCCTTTGATGATGCGTCAAGCTTTAATGATGTTCCATACTTGATGAATACAATGACTGCGATAAAGGAGAAACCAGCAAATATAGTGATTGGCACAAAGTAATATATATATATATATATATATGTGTGTGTATTTCAATTTGATTAAAAAGAGACCTGGATAATCCAATTAAAATCTTTTTCAGGTTCAAACCTTGGTCAACCTGCGTGATAGATGATGCACAAATCAAGGAATTCAAAGACAAATGGAAAGTTAAGGTCATTAAGATCGATGCCAGTAAATCGTCCATGAGAACTGAAATGTTTGATTGCTCTTATCAATTGAATGCTATCTGCAACATTTTATGGAACAGAGATAAAGAGTTTATATCCAAACTGATGGGACAAGCTTGACACTGCATGTTTGATGCATTTTTTGTTAATTTTATACAAAATAAAAGTACAAAAATATAGATTAATTTTTTGCTTAAATCTTAGGTTTTATTTGTTGCATCCTCAATCACATACATCTGCAAGTTTAAACAATCAGTTTTAATATTCTTCAAGGGCAACAGAGTTTTATTAGTCATCTCTACATCTCCATCTTCAACGATCCATGGAAAATCTTCGCATTTTGGATTCTCGCTCAGGATAATATGTGCAGTTTCGCAAGTCTGAATTTCAATAGAAAATGTTGACCCATCAGGGAGAGGTTTTAAATATGTATCACACATCGATAGCTTCAAACAGATTGTCTTCACTGCTTCTTCTGTCTTTAAATAATATGGATCTTTCCTTGAAATGAAAAGAGATTACTGTAAAGATTGATTTCTCTCAGAAGAAATTTATATTCATTGTTGCAACATACTCTACAAATTCTGCTTGCAATTTAATTATATCAAAGACAAATTTTTCTATTGGCAATTTGTTCTCGTTGTAGAAGGTAAGGCTGATGGTTTTAATACTGCTTTCATCTTCCTTTATCAATTCCCTGATTGCGTTCAGAATATTTGACAAGTACTCATTCAATTCTGGATGTTCCGATACATGTACTGTAATTCCATATATCTTTCTTTTGACGTATATTTCCTTGGGATAGATTTTGCGACAAAATAGTATCTGATTGAATGCTACTTCTAAAAACTCCAAGAGAATGTCAATACCAACTGTAAACAATGTTATAAATATTGAAGGCATATTGTTTAAAGTTATATACATTTTGATCGATCATAAAAATGTACCTATATTGTCCTGAGACATTTTATGATATTAAAAATAACTACATGTTACATATATGTTACATGTTCAAAATATAAATATAAATTTATAAATGTATATCTTCCATTTTCACACACGTGTGTTTATAGCCGCCATTAGGGATGGGCGATATTTGAAATATCGATATTTTTTAATTAAAATATCGATATTTCAGCTTTCGATATCAGCATGTATCGATATCACAGATTAATAGACAGATCGCCAAAGGTCTGGATGAAGGAGAGACCAGCATTTCTCACTGATTTCAGCGCCATATCGTAGTAGTGGTCAATGCAGTAACTATTAATACGTTCCCAAGACACAGATTAATAGACAGATCGCCAAAGGTCTGGATGAAGGAGAGACCAGCATTTCTCACTGATTTCAGCGCCATATCGTAGTAGTGGTCAATGCAGTAACTATTAATACATTCCCAAGATAAGAGCGTCTCATGCTCATGAACTCGTCCGGCGGCATGTACGAGATTTATCTTTTCGTAGCGTTCGCGTATTTCGGAAAGGACAGAATTTTATGATGTTATAAATAAATAAATAAATAAAATATTAACCTGACCTATTATAATTATTTTTTAATAAATGTTTCATTATTATTATCATCTAAGTCTAAGTCGTTTAATTAATTTTTAGTTTTTTAATAATTAATTTAATTTATTCTAATCATTTTAATATGTGAAAAATACTAATACGTATACGTTTTATAATGAATTAATATATTTCGAGAGTCGAATTATATATTTTTAATAATATAAAAGTGTTCAAAAATTATATTTGACTTTTAATTTTAATTATTTTAGCAAAGAGTTCCGAAATCTCTTACACACATAATAGGGATTTTGTTCATCCATATAATTCGCAATTAAGTATATATGTTAATTATTAATTTTAATAAAATACAAAATTAAAATTAAAGGTCAAATATAATTTTTGAACATAAATATATTTAATTCGTTATAAAACGTATACCCGTGATAGTATTTTTCTCGTACAAAAATAACTAGAACAAATTAAATTACTCATAAAAAAATTAAAAAATAATTAAATAATTTATATTATATATGATAATAATAAAACATTTTATAAAAAAAACAGATTCAATAAATATAAGTATATATATAACATGTACTTATATTTATTGAATCTGTTTTTTAATAAAATGTTTTATAAGCTTAGAAAACTTGACTTTGACGTAACTAGCAAATTTTATTTAATTATTTCACGACGGTTTGACGTAATAAAATGTTTTATTATTATTATATAAAATATAAGTTTAAATTCTTTAATTAATTTTTAATCTTTTATGATTAATTTAATTTACTCTAATTATTTTTGTACGAGAAAAATACTATCATGGGTATACGTTTTATAATTAATTTAATATATTTGTGTTTAAAAATTATATTTGACCTTTAATTTTAATTTTTATTTTATTAAAATTAATAATTAACATATATACTTAATTGCGAATTATATGGATGAAAAAAATCCCCATTATGTGTGTAAGAGATTTCGGAACTCTTTGCTAAAAAATAATTAAAATTAAAAGTCAAATATAATTTTTGAACACTTTTATATTATTAAGAATATATAATTCGGTTCCCGAAATATATTAATTCATTATAAAACGTATACGTGATATTATTTTTCTCATATAAAAATGACTAGAATAAATTAAATTAATTATTAAAAAACTAAAAAGTAATTAAACGACTTAGACTTAGATGATAATAATAATGAAACATTTTATTAAAAAAAGATTCAATAACTAGTAGGTCAGGTTATAATTTTTTATTTATTTATTTATAACATTATGAGCTATTAAGCTCATCATCTCGTTCGCTCTCTGTCTTGCTTTCATTCGGCAAGTCACAAACGATATATGATACTCGTATGTTCCTACTTCAACTCTCGAGAATTTGAAACAAACGAAACTCTTGTCCAATATACAGGGTGTCCGGTAACTAACAGACCAATGATTACAAATGGATTCTTTGGTCAATTTGGGAACGATTTTTCCTCAGCGAAAATGTCGAAAAAGGTCATCATTTTTTACAACTTTCCAATCTTTGTCATTATGTATCTTTATAACTAAGCCTTAAATTAAAATTTTATTATAGTAAATTCTACCTGAAATTAACTGAAGAATGTAATTATGTTAGACTTTTAACTCCAAAACGTTTAGTTTTCAAAAAACCTATTTTTTTCAATCGCTTATAACTCGAAAATTATTGACTTCTCAACATTTTTGCTAAGGAAAAATCGTCTCCAAATTGGCCAGAGAATCCGCCCTTAATCATTGGTCCGTTAGTTACCGGACACCCTGTATATATTATATAAAAGTGTATAGCACGTCAGAAGCTTGTGAGCTTACAGCGATAAGTAAAAACAATTGCGTATCTATTTCATTGCGTTTATCTGTTTAAACGCGCGCTTTAATTTTTCCAACGTTTTTGCCTGTTTATATTTTAAAGGTCCTCTCTTCTAAAAATCTTGTTTTAAAGATCCTCTCCGCGAGCAAAATTCGAAAACATAAATTATTTAATATTTTTACTTTATTATTTGTAAATCCTCGGTAATTTCAACATTTTTCTATTTGAAAATTATTAATTTTCTATTGCCAATTAATTTTATCACAGACTTTACTCTTACTCCCATTGCACTTTCGTTTGCGGTTTTCAGTATACGATTTTTTATCGTAGTTACTGAAAATTATTATTGTGAATTATACTTGTGCAGTGATTTGAAGAATTTACAATTTCGTTGAAATTGTTGATTTTTCAAAAAAATTACGAGATTCGCGGAAATTGCGTGCTTTCTTGGCATTTTCCGTTCGCGGCAGGCGGTTTATTTTTGATTGTTGCAAGTGTTTTTTTTTTTTTTTTTTTTTTTTTTGATAATAATAATGTGAAATAAATCACGATATTTGACAGATGTGCATATATATAGAAATTGTAATAATAATAATATTATATCATAAAATTGTAAATTGTTTCAATTTTTTATAGACTGCGATAAAAGATTTTACATTTGGATAAGAAACTGCGGTAAGTAAAAATATAAAATTCTTGAAAACGTAAAAATATTTGATAACGTAAAAAGGTGAACTTTGAAAAATAAGGAACTTAAAAATTGCACTAATAAATGGGCTATATATATGTGAGCCGTGCGCGGATGTAAGGTGTGTTATATCGAAATTTAATTAATAGAATTGAGAATTAATCCCAATTTTAAGTCTTACAAATGTCCAAGCTAATTTTTTGTACCTCGTGTACATTTTTGAAAGTTATATCGAAAAATTAAATTTCAATATGCGTCTTACATCTCACATTTCGCATACGGCTCACATATAGCCTATTTATCTCTTATACTTTATTTCAACCCTTATAGAAATTTATTACTAGTAACGCCAATTTATCACTTATTTCGAGTAATTAATCACTTTTATTTCGAATACTTAAATTACTGTATATTATAGTATTTTAAATACTCAAAATAAGTGATTAATTGGCGTAGTGATAAATTTCTACAAGAGAATAAGGAGCCTTTAAATTCTTAATGTAAAAAATTTCAAGTAATTTTCTTTAATAAAATTTAATTAAAAAATTTAATTAAAAAATTTTTGAACACTGTGTTATATCACATTTAAAATCGTGATTATTTCAATAAAAAAACATTTTATGTGTAAAAAATATATTTTTTATATTTAATAAATTTTATATATATATGCATATATGTAAAATATTCTCTCTCTCTCTCTCTCTCTCTCTCTCTCTCTCACACACACACACACACACACACAACGGGGGCCAAATCTCTCTAATTGGTCTCATGATCAATTAGCCTGGATTCGCACCAGGGGCAAAGTCTGTTGGTAATGTCAAACGAATTTAGCCTGGACTTGCACCAGGGGCAAAGTCTTTTGGTCGAGTCTACGAAATTTAGCACGGACTCGAACCAGGGGCAAAGTGTGTCGGTAAGGGGCAAAGTCTATCGCACGAAGATGGCGGTCTCTTCTTTAGGCAGGCCTTTGGCGATCTGTCTATTAATCTGTGCCCAAGATAAGAGCGTCTCATGCTCATGAACTCGTCCGGCGGCATGTACGAGATTTATCTTTTCGTAGCGTTCGCGTATTTCGGAAAGGACAGAATTTTATGATGTTATAAATAAATAAATAAATAAAATATTAACCTGACCTATTATAATTATTTTTTAATAAATGTTTCATTATTATTATCATCTAAGTCTAAGTCGTTTAATTAATTTTTAGTTTTTTAATAATTAATTTAATTTATTCTAATCATTTTAATATGTGAAAAATACTAATACGTATACGTTTTATAATGAATTAATATATTTCGAGAGTCGAATTATATATTTTTAATAATATAAAAGTGTTCAAAAATTATATTTGACTTTTAATTTTAATTATTTTAGCAAAGAGTTCCGAAATCTCTTACACACATAATAGAGATTTTGTTCATCCATATAATTCGCAATTAAGTATATATGTTAATTATTAATTTTAATAAAATACAAAATTAAAATTAAAGGTCAAATATAATTTTTGAACATAAATATATTTAATTCGTTATAAAACGTATACCCGTGATAGTATTTTTCTCGTACAAAAATAACTAGAACAAATTAAATTACTCATAAAAAAATTAAAAAATAATTAAATAATTTATATTATATATGATAATAATAAAACATTTTATAAAAAAAACAGATTCAATAAATATAAGTATATATATAACATGTACTTATATTTATTGAATCTGTTTTTTAATAAAATGTTTTATAAGCTTAGAAAACTTGACTTTGACGTAACTAGCAAATTTTATTTAATTATTTCACGACGGTTTGACGTAATAAAATGTTTTATTATTATTATATAAAATATAAGTTTAAATTCTTTAATTAATTTTTAATCTTTTATGATTAATTTAATTTACTCTAATTATTTTTGTACGAGAAAAATACTATCATGGGTATACGTTTTATAATTAATTTAATATATTTGTGTTTAAAAATTATATTTGACCTTTAATTTTAATTTTTATTTTATTAAAATTAATAATTAACATATATACTTAATTGCGAATTATATGGATGAAAAAAATCCCCATTATGTGTGTAAGAGATTTCGGAACTCTTTGCTATAAAATAATTAAAATTAAAAGTCAAATATAATTTTTGAACACTTTTATATTATTAAGAATATATAATTCGA